CCTCCAAACACTCTCCTCTTCCAAACTTTGCTATTGTTTTTTAGGTCCATCTTCCCAGTCACTCAGACTCACAGCCTAGGTATTGTCCTCATCTCCATCTGTTTCACCCCCTTCCCCCATATCTAGTCTATTGCAAAGGCCTTTCAATCTTCCCTTTGTAGCATCTCTCACATACGTTCTTTTCTCTCCTCTGACACTGTCACCACCCCGGTACCCTCAATGCCTCATGTCTGGACTATTGAAGTAGCCTGCTGCTGGGTCTCCCTGCCTCAAGTCTCCCTACTCCTGTCCATCCTCCAATAAGTTGTCAAATTGATATTTCTAAAGTTCGTGTCTGACTATGTCACACTTCATCCCTCAATAAGTAACCTCTAATGATACCTTGTCACTTCCAGGATTAAAGATAAAACCCTCTGTGTGTTCAAAAGTTGTCATGCCTGGCTACGAAGTCATGCTATTGCATTGAGTCCTGGCCCTTGAGTAAGGCAGACCTGAGTTCATATCTGAGTTCAGACACTGGACAAGTCATTTAATCTCTTTGCCTCCGTTTTCTCAACTGTAAAATGGGGGTAATAAGCAGCACTCTATCTCTCAGGGTGGTTATGAGGTTCAAATGAGAGAATATTTGTAAAGCACTTAGCACAGTGCCTGGAATATAGTAGGTTCTATATAAATGCCTATTACCCCCTCTTTTTTTCTGGCACATAGTAGGGTCTTTATAAATGCTTATTTCCTTCTCTTTTCCTTCCCCTCCTAACTTTTTTACTTCTTATACCTTACTTCCCTCCAGGAGCACTTTGCAATCCAGTGACACTGGCCTCCTTTCTCTTTCTTGCACAAGACTCCATCTCCCACCTTCAAGGATGTTCTCTGGTTGTCTTCCATGCCTGGAATGCTCTCCTTCCTCATCTCTGCCTCCTAGAATCTCTGGCTTCCTTCAAGTTGCAGCTAGAGGAAGTTTTTCCTAATCCCGCTTAATATTAATGATCTCCCTCTGTTGATTATCCCCAGTGTATCCTGTCTGTATTTGCTTTCCGTGTTATCTCCCCATTAGACTGTGACTTTGATTACAAGGCCTGCATTTTGCCTTTCTTATTACCTCCAGCACTTAGCACATAGTAGGCACCTCATAAATTCTTGTTGACTGATTGACTAACAAACCCATCAGTTGTGGTTGATTGCAGAGGACTTTGGCTTTACAGATCCTAGCCAGAGATCTTGGACCTTAAAATGTTAGAGCTTTGAAAGTGTCCAACTCTTTAATTTTTCAAATCAGGAAGCCTAGGCCTAGTGAGGTCAAGTGAGCTGCCAGATTTATGTGGAGAATAAGTCATAGTGGCAGGATTTAAACCCTCTAATCTTGACTCCAAATTGAAGGCTCTTTCTACTCTACCTTGCCCCCTCTTCCCTCACCCCATCCATATCTACTAGTGTTTGAGCCAATGTTGTAAGATCAGGCTTCTGAATCCTGCCTGCCTTTCTCCAACTATTTCTCTGAAGATTGTTTCAGATTAAGATCCAGGGTATAGAAGTCAAGATACAGGCGCCTCCACAAAGCTGACTCTGGATTTCTTCTTTTTTTTTTTTAAATTACACTCAGCTTCATCTTTGAGAACTCCTGCTATCCAAGGTGTTGGATTTGTTTAAGTTTAGGACCTGGCTCTTTGCCCTAACGCCTATCTTCTCTCTCTTCGTGCAAAAGAACATTTTCCACTTGCCCCACTTTTTATGGTTCCCTCTTAAAATCTCAGCTGCTCTCTTTTCTCATGAAGAAGAGAAATATCCTTGAACTGAGGGTTAAGTCTAAAAAGGTCTCCTGCCTTGTGAGGGAAGGGGGAATTCTTGCAGGTTACTACAGTGGAAGAAGACAAGATCTTCCTGTCAGTTGTCAATCTCCCTTTGTCAGCCTGCTCATTGCATTCAGGAGACACTTGGGCGCTCTGGCCTGGATTGTTGGTCTCCTCCAAGATGGTGTTATAGTCCAACAAAATTCACACTAAATGGAACGAAGGCCAATGTGGTTTAGTGAAAAGTCAGAACAATGGACTATTTCTTGAAGAAATCCAGCGGCAAAGTTAGTGTCAATAATTGCATATCATATAGCTGTTTAACTGGGCTGCTTATAGAAGTCACATCTTCTCTCCTGTCCTCTCTTTTGAACCAAATTCTACCAGTTCAAGGCTCCTCCCGGGTTCTAACTCATTCAGGAAGCCATCAGTGACTATCCGTACCACCTGAGTAGACGCGCTTTAGTTAGTACTTCCTGATATACTGCTGGGGTAGGGTTGATTTGGACTCCACCCTCAATACATGTCATTTCCTGCCCCCCAACTTAAAAACATGAGAAGCTGCTTGGTTATAGGGTCTGTACCTTCTTCTTTTCTCTTTTTGATGCTTAGCACAAGACTAGATATATTGTGGGTATTCAAAAAATATTTGTTAAATTGAATTAGGTTGAGCAACGTATATAGTTTGGGGCTTTTCAAGTATTTGAAAAGTGTCTCTTAAGAAGATAAGCATGCTTTTGGTAACCTCTTCACCATGATTGATTTGCCCATCAGATTCCATCTTCAGAGTTCAATTCCACATATTCTTGTCTGAATTAAAATTCAGAATTAATTAAGTAACTTGTAATTGGGAACTAAATTGAATCCTTATTAATAGGTGTACTGCAGACCTGTCTGATTAACACAATAGGAGTGTAAGAGAGCCTCCACACTGGGGAAGTCATCATAGGGTATATTAGTGGTGTCTGTAGTATTAATTGCAGTGCAAAGTGATTTTCAGCATTTTGGAACAAGTTGTGAAGACATGATAAGTGTCTACCCAGGGAAAATTTTTTTTTAAACCGTCAAAGTAGGGACTTGGTGCCAAGGTTAAAGGAAGATGACTGAGGGGCAGCAGCACTGACTGACTAAACAGAACATTGCATTGGGCAGGACAGTCTGTTCCTTAAGCCATTCTGGTGAGTTGAAATTTTACCATATTGTCAATAAACTTGATGAGAAGTCATTGTCACTGGTAAAATGTTACCTTGCCCTGTGGGGAGACTAACTCAACAACTGGGTTTTCTATAAATTATCATCAAGGGCCTGTTTATAGCTTTTCTTTTCCCTGAACTCATATGTGTGATGTCCTGAGAACAACTTTAAGAGGAAGTAGAGAGGAATCAAATCTATCAGTCATTCAGCAGGGATTGATTGAATATACCAGGACCAGAAAGCCCAGGATGCTGAATGCAATGTTGGGCCTTCCCTAGAATAGAACTCCTTATCAAGTCATGGACCCTATCACTTCAGTCTGTTGAGGTCTATAGACCTCTTCTAAGAATGATGTTTTAAAATGCATAAAGTGGGGGGCAGCTAGGTGGCGCAGTGGATGGAGCTTTGGCCTTGGAGTCAGGAGGACCTGAGTTCAAATCCGCCCTCAGACATTTGACACAGATACTACCTGTGTGACCCTGGGCAAGTCACTTAACCCGAATTGCCTAAAAATAAAATAAAATGCATAAAGTGAAATACATAAGATTGGAAAGGAAACCAATCACATTAAAATACACTTATCCAAATAAATTCATGAATCTTAAAGTAAGAAGCCCAGCTTTCTGATTTATTGGAGGAAACATCACACACACACACACACACAGACCCCCCACAAGATTGATACAAGTATCCAATTTAAAGATTGAAAATTTTGTGATGGAGATTTTTAAGTGACAAGGTTGCAGAAGAAGCACTGGATTTTGTATTGTCAGACTTTCAGACTTGGATTCAAATCCCAGCTCTGCGACTTAATGCCTGTGTGGGCAATTAGTTTAGCCTCTCTGAACCTCACTTCTTTGAAAGAAACAAAAAGAGGAAGTGAGATTTGAGTATCTAACATAGTAGATAGAGTACTGAACTTGAAGTTAGGAACACATGGGTTCAAATCTTGACTCAAAGACTTAGTAACTATATGATCTTGGACAAGTCACTTAAACTTTTAGGTTTTTCATCTATAAAATGAGGGGGCTGGATTTGTTAACCCCTCAAATCTTTTCTAGCTCTAAATCTAGGATTATAAATTCTGTAGGTCAGAGGGAAAGGAATTTAGTGAAATATGGTGTAGTTAGGAATAATTTATTTGGTATTGCCTCAGACAGACTGAGATCTGGAAAAGACCTTGGTTTAAAAAGGCCAAGGTCACCCACTACATCCTGAGCCATTGCCAGTCTTCTTGACTTTTGTCCTGCCACTGGACTTCCATGACTCTCGAGGAGAAAATGAGGCTGATGACTTTGCTCAGCTCCACCTCACTTAAATCCAATTCATATGCAAGTCAAGACATCATCCATGATATCATTGGCCTTCTTCAAGAATGAAAGATGGGGGAAGCTAGGTGGCGCAGTGGATAGAGCACCAGCCCTGAAGTCAGAGTTCAAATCCCACCTCAAACCAAACATTTGACACTTACTAGCTGTGTGACCCTGGGCAAGTCACCTAACCCAAATTGCCTTAGAAGAATGAAAGATGAACAACAACAACAATTGGGGGAGGTGAGGCTCCAACTGAGCCTTGAAGACAAGATAAAATATGGATGGGGCAGAGTATTCTAGGTGAGGAGAATAACATGAATGCAATTAGGTAGGAGGAAACGAGCATGGGGCAATGAGGAGGCTGGTCTGATGATAGCAGAGGGGCATGTTCTTTGTTGTTAAATGGATTGTGTTTTCCCTGTATTGGCATCTCTTTTTCCAGTTCCCAGCTAACAGATTCAGAACTAATTCTTCTCTGAATATCACAGCTCCTGGGGATACCTATAGGAGCCTGGCGCACCGGAAGCTCTAGGTCGATCCTTTGGGGCCAGAGCTTTTGTGCCTATATACTTCTATAGTTAAGTTGTTCAACAGAGCCCAGGATTTTTTTGTGCTCCCAGTGAATCTGACCTTGCAGAGTGACTGACTAATCCTCTCTTTGCCCTTTACTTTCCCTAACAAAGCTCTTCGTTCTATGATTCTATAGGTTCCCAAAGGCACAGACCAGAATTGGGCTCAAAAATTGTATGACCGGCATTCCAGCAGCCAGCATTTCCAGAAACCCAGAATGTCCAATACCTCCTTCATTGTCCTTCATTTTGCAGATAAGGTGAGTGTTCTCTTTGGAGGCCTGAATACCAAGCAAACTCCTACCCTGTGGGCCTGTGAGCTGAACTCTTCCTTTTAATTTGATTAGTTTGAATGTTTCCTGTGAAGTTTTTTAGTTTATCTTCCTCCTTGTCCTATGCATCTGCCTTACCCTACTAGACTATTCCTGAAATGTAATCCAATATATAAATACTCCTTTATAAGGTTGGTACTGGGAGATAGGACTTATACTTGCTTAAATGTTTCAGAAGGACTTATTTTACCTGTGAGAGGTGTGTGTGTGTGTGTGTGTGTGTGTGTGTGTGTGTGTGTATCTATCTCTATGTATAGAAACATACATAAGATAGGAATAGGACCTATGATGTCATTGGTATAGGGAACTCCCAAGTGAAAAAAACTCCCTCTACCAGTGCATGTTTGAACCTTCTCTGCAAGCTTATACAATCTTGGGGCACTAAGAGATTTGACTGACTTGCCCAGGGTCATACAGTCAGTATGTATCAGAGGCAAGACTAGAACCCAGCTCTTCCTGGCTTTGAGACTGATTCTCTGTTTGCTTATTCATACAACCTCTCATACGTATACATAGTTCATGTAATCATAATCCACATCTAATTATGTGGAATCATTTCTATTACTTCTGTCGCAGTGGCATGCTTAGGCAGAAGGGCTATGGTTCATTCTCCAGAAGTCTTTACTAAAGTGGCATAATGAAAACCATGCATTCTTTCTTGGAAGCTGTGCCTTCAGTAGTGCATGGGCTCTGGAAGATTCTACCAAGGTGAAAAGGCTTCAAGTATGGGCCTAGCTATGATTTAAGGACCAGCTTAACTAAATTAAAGAGGTTCATCACCGAACAGTTGGCTACCAAGTGTTAAGGGCACCCCTGAACATGTCTTTTTGAGTTACCGTATTTTCAAGTTGTGATAGTTTTTGATTAACATAAGAGATTAATTTTTTTTTGGCAAGCTAGCCATTAACACTATTTCCTATGGAAGAAACAGTACTAATTTTGGGGAAATCACACATCCAAGAACTAAGACATCAGAGTTCATTCCCAGCAGATGTCTATAGTTCTAGTTACATTAAATAGTGATATGTTCCTAAAAAGATGGGCAGAAAAAACTTTTTGTAAATGGTTTCCTATTTTAAATACTAGAAGAAGTTGCCATTTAAAGAAATTTTATAAAGTCATTTTGTAAAATAAGTGATTGCTTCTAATCAATATTTTGTGTAATTTCTAATTTTCACATGTTTCTTGTGAAATGACCCCAAGTCGTGGCTACTTTAGCACTTTGCTCTAGAGTGCCTTGTGTATTGCGTTGGACCACAGTCTCATCAGACCATTGCAGTTTGCTTAAAGTGAGGCACAGCCAATGTGGGATTCCTTCCTCTTTTTTCTCCCTGTTTATACCTACTTAGGAAAATGTCATGAAGTTGAAGTTTTTGGCTTTCTTGCTTCCCAAACCAGTACACTTCTCACTCTCTCATGCTGTCTCGTGTAATAGTTTCTGAAGACTCTGCAAGTTAACATGGGGCTGCTCTGGGCTGAAGCTCTGACTACTGACTTTTTTTTCCTGCTGCATTGCGCTATATATAGGTGGAGTACCACTCTGATGGATTTCTGGAGAAAAATAGAGACACGGTGTATGAAGAACAAATCAACATCCTGAAGGCCAGCAAGGTAAAAAAAAAAAGGGGAGGAGATGGTCCTGAGTTAATAGTTTCTATGGGCTGAAGGTTTGAGAAATAACAAAATAAAAACATCTATAGATAGAGCTAGGGCACTACTTAATAGAGAACCTACATATGGTTGTCACCCTGGAAGAAGAGAAGGTTGTGTGGGAGCAGCAAAGGCTGCTACCAACACTAGCACTTCCCTTTACCACGTAATCCCCACTTCTGATTGCTAAGAAGTTGGAATATGGGGGGAGTATAGGTGGGGGGAGTGGATTACCATATGGATGGGCGGCCACTGAACAGGAGAGGAAGCAAGCGAATGAGCAGACAGGGAGAAAGATAACAGCATGAGAAATGAACTGAGGAGGAACAGAGAACACCCAATTCATCTAAGGCTTGTCCAAGCCCTGTCCCTGACATCCTGAATTCTGACATAAGATGGTTCTATCCCTTCTAAAACAGATAACCATAGTCCTTATCATTTGCTTTGCAATGATGCTTTGTGAGAGTCAGAGCTTAGGAAAAATTGAAACTGATGCTCATGTAACAATTCTCTGTTTCTCCAAACTTTGTCCATGAACTCTGTTGGTTTCTTCTTTCCTCTGCATACATATAGCAGGTAGCAAACATTGTGCCCATTTTACAGGTAGAAAAAATTTCAGAGGATATTTTTCATTATCTTAACAAAGTTGAATAATCTAAGTAAGCACAGAACCCACGTCTTTCTACCCTTCTACCCTCCTGCCCTTAGCTTCCTATGCTAGACAATGATGTTTCCATCATAGATGATGCTGGGTAAAGATAAGAAAAGGAGAAGACAGAATCCTTGTCCTCAAAAACTTACAAGCTTCACAAAGAAAAAGTAACAAAAAATGATGTAAGTGTCCAATATGTGACATCAACAAAAAATACTATCGGGATTGAGAAAACAGGCACTTTAGGCTAGAGCAACCAAGGGAGGTTTTACAGGGAAAGCACTTGAGCCAGGCTATGAAGAGCAGAAAATAACTCTAACGATGTTTTAAGTTACAAAAGTATTTTTCCTCATTCTATAAATAAAAGTAATATTATACCAATTTCATGGCTCAGGAAACTGAAGCTAAGAGAGACTGTGCTTTTGTCCAGAGCCATACAACTAAGTGACATGCTTGACCCTTGATTTTCCTGATAAGTGATAGAGAAATGGAGATGGTATTCTAGGTCAAGGAGGGAGTGTATAGGGTAGAAACAATAGCTTAAATATTGATGTGTATGTAGGAACAAATATATTATATTTGGAGGCTGGAGCGGGGAAGAGATTAATAGAATGAATTATGTCTCTTAGTGAAATGGGGGAATAATGGTTCAAGACTCTAGTGAATTATCTTGTTCAATCCTTTCATTTTACTAATGAGGGAACTGATATTCACAGAACCAGATTTCCAATTTTGGGCTCTCTTACTTCCCAAATCAATATGCTTCTCCCTATTTCATTCTACCTCTAGTGGTAGCTTCTGAAGACTCCACAAAAAGTTTTGCTTAAGTCTTTGTTTATCCTTCTTTAATCAACCAATTAATTAATAAACATTTATTAAGCATCTACTACACATTAGGCACTGTGCTAAGTGCTGGGGATACAAAAAGAGGTAAAGAGTCCCTGCCCTCAGGGAGCTTATGGTCTAATGGGAGAGACCTTAGCAAGCAACTCTATGCAAAACAAGCTATATACAGGATAAATAGGAGATAATTAGCAGAGGGAAGGCTTAAGGCAGCAGTCTTGTGTAAACTGGAGGCCTTTGTTAAATGATTTCTCTCTACTATCATCCCATCAAAAGATACTTCTTTTTTCTTCTTCTACTACTTTCACTTCCTTCCTCTCCTATCAGTGGTCAAATTTGTCAGCAATATTCAAGGCACCAGAGTCAGGGAGGGCCGAGGTGGAGATGACCCTGGACTCTCAATGCCTGTACTACCAGAGGTCCTACTCTACCAGGTCCAACAAAGCTGTCAGGGCATGAGGACTTAAATGAGCATCTCTTGTATAAGGGCCAGCCCAAGTAAGCGTGGAGATACTCATCACCAAGTTGTCCTCCGAGTGCCAACCAAAGTATACCAGGGTCATCATTTGTTTTGGTGGAGGGAAAACCCATGCTGACAAAATTACTGGTTCTGAAAGTGTCAGAGTTACATATACAAGATACTCTGGGGGATATAAAGAAGTATAAAACTTGAGAGGAATGGAGGAGTTGGGCATGTTTCAGGTAAGAGCAGTGGTATAAGCCAAGGCACAGAAGCACAAAAGAGCAGTGTGAGTAGACCAGCCTAGCTGAAGCTAAGACTTCACAGAGCAAGTGATGAGGTTGGAAAGGTAAGTTGGAGTCAGATTGTGAGCTGCTCAGCTAAAAGGTGCGGACCTGGTCTTATGGCTAGTGGGGACCACTAACAGTCTTGTATCCATGAAATGCTGTTGTCCTTAGTTCTTTTTGTGTTTTGGGCCCCTTTGACAGTCTGTCAGAATAATATTTTTAAAAGCATAAAATAAAATATAAAATATTACAAAGGAAACCAGTTATAATCAAATACAGTTATCAATATATTATAATAGGTTCAGGGACCCTGAGTTAAAAACACTGGCTTTAGAGTATTCTGGCTGTGGTTTGTGGGGGTGGGGTGGGAGAAAGTAGACTGGGCACAGGGAAAGCAGCTAGGAAGCTATTGAAGTTACTAATTAATAACTGGGGACTTTGGTTGGAGAAAAAGGTGGGATATGTTCCTAAAGAGAAGTACAGGTTTCAGATTTTCACCTTTGACTGGCAGGAAGAATATTTCCACCTTGTTGATACTGGCCTCTATAGAGAAGATCCTTAGGATTCAGAAAGAGTTGCGGCAGGGGGTCTTACAGAGAAGCAGCAAAAGTAAAAAAATAAATGATGAATACAAGAAGATGGGCTCCAGAGAAATCAGTCAGCTTCTTCTCAGGATAAGTGATACTAAACATACAGTAGGAGACATTACACTGGAGAAATGCACAGTTAATTTCACTTGATATGGGGTGAGGGAGGAGGGGAACCCCACTAATCACAGGAGGATTTAAAGCTCAATGGTCCCTGTTGATTGATGCACTCCCTGGGACTGGGAATCCTTTCAGGCAGAATCTGGTGGATTCTGCTGAAGCATAGGCCTTCTTAAACTGGCTCCTGAGATCAGAACCTCAAGGATTAATTATGACCCAGACAAGCTTTGCTTTGTGTGATTATACTGAGCTGTTTTTTCTCCAGCATCATTTCAGGATCCTGGGAAGGCCTAGGCTGCAGGTTCCTAGGTTTCAAGGATTTTGTGCATAATAAGGCTCTCCACAAAAAAAGGAAGGAAAGGAGAGGAGAGGATTGACCATGTAGCTGGGATCTTTTACAAATCACAGGAGTAAGAGAGAAATGGGAGACAGTGTTACAAATAACCGGGATTACTTCACATCTCATTGTCCTGTGTTGTCTCCTCCAAGCACTGAGGGATGGAAGCATTTCATGTAGTCATGACGGGCAGCAGGGAATACAGTCCAGGTCCTAGAGCAGAGAGTGGGTCAGCAGCCTTAAGACCACCAGCAGAGCTAAGCCAGGGATACTGGGAGTAGTGAGTGACAGGCTTTCCTAAGAGAGAAGAGAAAGAGGGAAGAGAACAGTTTCTTTCTGCTAATCCCATTCACTATGAAATTGCCCTCACTTCTTCTCTCCTACTCTCCTGCTATTTAAATCATACCGCTAAGCAAAGTGAAATGGAAAGACATATAGACATAGACTCAAAAGTTGTTCAGTTATATCTGACTCTTTGGGACCCCATTTGAAGTTTTCTTGGCAGAGATACTGGAGTGATTTGCCATCTCCTTCTTCAGCCGATTTTATAGATGAGGAAGCTGAGGCAAGCAGGGTTAAGTGACTTGCCCAAGGTCATGCAGCTAGTAAATGCCTGAGGCCAGATTTGAACTCTGGGAGATGAGTGTTCCAGACTCCAGGCCCAGTGCTCTGTTACGCCATCTGGATGCCCTCAGACGCAAAAGACCTAGGTTCAAATCCTTGTTCCAATGCTCAATATTTGTGTAGCTGGATGATGGTATTTTAATTTTATTAAAATTTTGGTTGATGATATATTCTTACCACAGTTAGAATAAGAAATGGAAACTAAGTCCGGATCTGCCAAATTCTATATCCTTCCACTATTAAAAATTTTAAAAAGCCAGAGCATTTTATTGTTTGATATCTCTGGCCAGTGGAGAGGAGTTCTTTAATTCCACCCTTCAGTGACCCTGTGATTTAATCTCTGTGGGCATTGGTTTCACTGATACAGATCACAGCTCCTTTGTAACTTAATAGATGGTCTTCAGGAATTGCTATGGCTGATTAATTCATCCCCCGTCATGGCCATGGTTGCAGGCCAAAAAAGAGAATTTTTAAAAGGTTGGAATGGTCTTAGAGGGGAATGATACCTTTAGTCAGAAGGACAGAATGGGGGTTGTTGAACTGGAGTTTTGATGAGGTAAGAAAGTTGGGTACGATATGCTGAGAGGCATATTTAGGTTCAAAGTAAGGAGAAACTCCCTCCCAGGGAAAGTAGTTTCATAGACCCGGAAGGTGGTGCCTTCCTTTTCAAATAGAGGCTTTGTGATGCCTCAGCAGTGCCATGTCAGAGAGAATTCCTGATCACATGTAGATTGGAATGGATAGATGGTCACTGAGTTCCTTCCAACTCTGAGTGTCTATCATTCTGTGACCATAAAATAATGGAACTAGTGTTTTCACAAATTCACCAAACTACACATAGGCCTTGTTTCCCTTAGCTCAGTCTTCTTGGAGAGCTCTTTAGAAATTGCCTTCAGAGCCAGGTCATGAGTCACTCAAGGAAATTGAGTCTCACTTCTTTTTAGTTGCCATGGTGCATCAGGCCTGGAGTTAGGAGGACCGGAGTTCAAATTCAGCCTCAGACATTTACTAGCTGTATGACCCTGGGCAAGTCATTTAACCCTGTTTGCCT